GTGCATAATAATGACAGCTCCAGAGAGAGAAGTTAGGGACTGTGAGAAGAAGCTAAGACTGTGAGACCCAGCAAGTTTACCTCTGCAGGATTTCCACCTGCAGCATCAGGCTTTCCTTGTCATGTGAACCATTGTCATTGTCACCAGCTCATTCTCCATAGTTCTAACAAGTGATTTCTCTAACACAAATACATCATGGGATGACTGTATAATGATTTCTCTAACACAAATACATCATGAGATGAGGTATAAAAACATGGGGCAGTGTCCCCTGATCATTGAGAATAAGATTTAAGCCTCCTGGTCTACCACGACCGGGACTCAGCTCTTCTTTCCATTTTACCTGAGCCTGCTTCAGCTGAGCCCAGGCCTATGCTTACCCAGACTAGGGATGCTGCTTGATGTTCTACACCAGCTCTCTCTCCTGCTGTGGGGGTCCATCTTTGACTACTTGCCTCATTGATCCTGTTCATTTATCTTTCTCCTCATGCTGACAAGAAAAGTGCTTTATATGAAAACAACATCGAGACAGTCACTGACCTGCTTTAAATGTTAAATACTCTTAAAACTGGCTTACTATAATTAACTATGAAGAGATTTGCATGTCTTCACATTTAAATTCATTTAGGAGAAATTTATTGAATCCTTACCTTGTCCAAGTCATTGTGGTTGTTATTATCTGAATTCTCCTAAATTTGACCAGAATCCTGTGAGCACTGAACTTACATGGGTGTTTGTTTAAAAAAAAAAAACTGAAATGAAACCTAGTTAGTCCTTTTTTCTTGCAATAGGAAAGAACGACAACTAAGAACTCATAAGTTCAGAAAATAGCTTTGAGGTTATAGAAGAGTTACCTTTATAGATGTGTGTAGAACTCATTCTGATGTAGAAAATTTCATCCCGTCAATTATACACAATAGGTTATGATTTATAATTTATGCAAAATGTGGTAGTATCTGTAAGTGGTATAGGTGAATAGTAACCCCTCAGTATCTTAGCAATGTTTACATTTTCTCATTTTCTTCTTTAGTATAGTTGGTTGAAGAATTTTCTAGTAGCATATGTAAAGAATGGCTGGTTGGCTCATTAAGCAGGTTGATATAAAATCTATAGAAAATCTTGATAAACCAGAATAATGTGGTGTTGAAAGGAAAATCTTGATAAACCAGAATAATGTGGTGTTGAAAGGCATCTATGATTCCTTTACGAGGTCTGAAGTAAACCGTCTAAACCTCACTTAATGTAGTATTAATGTTTCTATGGTAACTAGTATATTTAGAGGGAGTATTGCTCATGAAATTAGTCAGAGGGAATTTTTTAAATTATGTGGCTAAGAATATTTTCTTTTGATCATTTTGCATTTGTTTAGCAAAACATATGAATAAAAATACCTTTAAAATACCCTACAAAACTCCTTGGATTATAATGTTATGCATGGATAGTCATTCAACAGACAGATATTAGGCAGCTGGTGTGAGCACTGCGTGTAGAGACTGGGATTGTGGTGTTTGCATTCCCTCGGTCATGGAGCTTGTATTTAGTGCATATAGAGGGTGTGACAGACAGTAAACTAGGAAACACAGCACATGTGCACACATTGTTTCACTTGTGACTTAAAGGATGAGAAGGAGTCAGTCCTAAAAAGGTCCACCCCAGGAACATCCATGCCAAGGGCAGAACAGAAACACAAAAACCTGCCTGAGTTCAGACAAAGCCTGACATGTTCAAAGAATAGAGGAGGTTGTGAGCATGGAATAGAAGCCGGGGTAGCAGATAGACAGGATTGGTCTCGGAGGTGAGTGGGTAGGTGCAAAACCTGCAGACCAAGAAAGGAGTCAGATTTCCCTCTAAGTGCAGTAGACATTGCCATAGAACTTTATGCATGTTTTATGTTTCCTTTTCTTCCTTCTTTTGGCAAAACTTGGGTTTGAACTCATGGTTTTTCACTTATTAGACAGGCTTTCTGCCACATCAAGTGCTTATGTTTTCTTAAGAGTGCCTTGGTTTCTCTGTGGAGAAGAGAGGGGGAAAAAGGAAGAGAGGGAGGGAGAGAAGAAGGGAGAGAGAGATAAAGGAAAGGAAGAAAGGCATTAGTAGGCCATTATAATGGGCCAGGTGAGAGATGCTGGCAGTGTGCAGTGGGGTTGTGAGTAGGATACTGCAGATAGAGTTGAGGGAATGGATGCAGGAAGCATTTGGATGTAAACAAGATTGATGGTGGAATTGGGGATGGAAGAGAGTGGGAAATAATTTCTCTTAGCACAGCATAAAAATGAAATAGCATGGGATTCGTTATTTAGAGCATCCAAATTCCATTTGTACTCTTTATCTTGGGTTAAGTCACTGCACATGTTCATTACGGTAGTGAAACTTCAGCCTTTTCAAAGCACATGCGGCTCATACACACTGAAAGCATGCTGCCTCTGACAGTTGCTGCAGTGAATGAATGAAAAGAAATTAACTAAGCAGATAGCAATGAAACTGAACAAATCATTTCAGCTAAAAGCACAAAAGACAAGCGTGACCTAAAATAGTTGATTTTGTGAAGTGTCATTTTCTTTTTCATCGAGACATTTCCTCTCATAGCCTATACAAAAATCAGGAAATCCTTTGACTTGATTTTTAGGACCGTATTTAGTATTTTGTGTCTTAGTCTTCTGTGAAGTTCTTAGTTATGACAGATGGAGTCTTTGGCTGGGTTCAGGGCTCTTATGGGAAGAGAGGATTGAACAGGTATAGCCCCCCCAGCCCCCATCTCTGCTGCAGCCCACCAACTGGCACTAGGTCATTTGTTATACACCTGGCTTTCAAGCAAGATTTTGTATGAATGAGGAATGCACTAGTTCTTTTTAAAAGTGTAAATATAAGTTAGCTGGGCAGTAGCTACCTTTTCTAGTCAGATAGCCCCAGCCCAGATAATTCTACCATTCTTGAATCTTCAATAAGAATTGAGTTTCTCTAGTTAATGAACAAAATTCACTTTCCCCACTCATTCTCCCAAATTTCATGTGTTGAAGTTCTACCTGCTGCTACCCCACCAAATATTGTGTGTAATTTTTTTTTCAGAGGGCTCCTCTTACTTCTATCTCCAGGGGCTCCAGAAGTTTATGGGTTCTAGGCTAGATGAGTTCCTGAGGTCTACTGATTTTTTGTTAATCTCCTTGGTCCTTCTCCTTTCCTGGGTTTGATACTTCCTGCTCCCTCTGGCCATGAGGACAATGGCTGACTCCTATCTCTATCTTGCAGAGCAGGGTTACAAGAGGACTGGTGGAGCCCTCTGAGGTGTAGAGAGAGGGGAGCCCTCTGCTGAGCTGGGCTAGGAATGGAGACCAGACCTTAGCCTTGACCACTGGAGTCCTGTCACTGTTGGATGCATCTTCTAGCCCTATCCCCACGTATGGTGATTTCTAGTCCTGTTGCCTGGTTTCATCTACACAGCATTTCTCTTCTAGTCCTTCAAAGCAGGGGTTCAAGTTCTTTGCCAAAGAACTTTGTAGTCTGCAAAGTTTAGAATTGTGGCTGGGCTCAGCTTTAAGTACTCTGACAGGGATGAGGCTGGTCCACCCATGAGCATGCAGACATCTTCGGGAGAAAGTGTTGATCAGTGCCATGTCTCAGCTCCAGCCAGCCATGGTAGCTTATCACATGAGCAATCATGCTTAAGGAGCAAAAGCGAAGAGACTAGACAAGTGCATGCAAGAAATAGGATTGAGAGCTCCAGTTACTCTGCCAGTAGTGTCATGTCTTTTTAAGCACAGTCTTACAGAATCACAGGAGTACAAAACAGGGGGGACTTGAGTATTAGGAACAGACTTTCCCTGCTCTCAGTGGCTCTTTCTTCGGTGGGGTCAGACGCCACAGAAATCTCCAGGGAATTCTAGAGATTCTTCCAGTACAACTAGGATTTCAGAAGTAGAGAACTATTTTCATTATACCTTGGCACCTTTTCAGGAGTCAACATCTATTACCCCTTAAATGCCAGGTGTTCAGTTTCCTCTGCTTCCATTTTCCCTTCTAATGGGCAAGCATGTGAAAGAGGTCGCAGTCTCCTAGGTGTACTGTAGTCTGTCTGTCCTCTCTGACTCTTTGCAGGCCATCGCACATGTAGCCACCATGTTACCTGCCTAAACCTCTCTTATCTGTCATTGTCAGTCTTGAAATTCCCTCCATGGCTCACTGTTCTCCATGGGATGAAGGCCTTGGACATCTAACACTTCCCATGGCTGTCCATACTTAGCAGTGCCCCTGTACTACCTACTTGAAGGTCCTCTGACTCCTGATACCAAGCTTACCTCCTAGCCACCAGGTACCTCCCAGTCCTTAGCACCAGATTCGGATTGCAAAGCCTGGGAAAACCCTACAGCTTCCAGCCTTTGTAGACCCCAGGTAGGATATATGACCCTGTTTGCTCTGTTCTGAGCTTGCCTAATCTTCTTTGCACCTGTCACATGACACAATGACCTTGTTTGTCTGACTCCTCTACTCCAATAAAAATGCTTTGAGGACTGAGATATTTGCTGGAGGGAGCTGACTCACTTTCTGTCTATAGCTCACCCCCCCCCCCCACCACCACCCATAGGTGCCCAACACGTAAAGGCACTCAACATTTCAAAGAATGACTCATCCTTACCACAAATGCTTTTGTTGACTTGTGAATGGCAGTTGTTAAATAAATCAGCTCCCCGTTAATAAAATCAGAATTATCGTTCAAAGCTTCATGGTTGCAAGGCTTGTACTCTTCCTATTCAAATGAGGCCTCGGGTTTTAAAGGAACGTTGTATTTGTTGAGACCACAAAAGCATTCCCCTGTGTGTCGGCCTCTTTCTGCCTGTGTGGTACTGGCCACGGCCAGAACCAATTTCAGTGTTCAGAGTTGATTGAATCCATAATCCAGAGGATAGGGGAGAGTTGGGAGAGGTGTGGATGTGTGAAGGTGTGTGTGGGTGACAAATGACCAGGTGTCCTAATGAACCACTCACTTGAAAATTGTCTTTCTGCAGGTGATGTATCACCAATCAGTATGTCTCCCATCAGTCAGTCTCAGTTTATTCCACTCGGGGAAATCCTTTGCTTGGCCATCTCAGCAATGAACTCAGCGAGAAAACCTGTCACCCAAGAAGCACTGATGGAACACCTGACCACGTGTTTCCCAGGTAATGAGAAAAGAAAGGAGCACTTTTCAAATGGATGTGCACTCTGGTGGCTCTAGGACTTCAAATGGACTGTTCTTCCCAAGTTTAAACATAACAGAAAAAGTCTTCACTCAAAGAGACCAGAAACTTGTCTTTCTTCTGTAAGTAAAAAAAAAAAAAAAAAATCAAAGCACCCATGTTACATTTAAAAAAAATTCTATTGCTCCAGGTTTAATATTCTTTTATTTGGTACTGAGCAAAAGAATCGATAGAAACTCTAGCAAAAATGACCAGAATTCCATTCAGCCTTTGCAATCTAATCTTCCCTAAATACATGAACACAGAAATAGTGTTCATGGAAATGTTTCATCGTAAGAGTTTAATGGCAGCAAGAGTCATGTCAAAATTAAGTTTATCTTCCATGTTTGTGTTCTGGCGTGGTGAGCTTTAAGAAAACATTATTTGTTCTAGGTTTGATGGCTCAAATCTGTAATCCTAGGCACCATGAAAGGCTGAGATCAGGAGGATTATAATTTGAGACCAGCTGGAGCAAGAAATTCTGGTGACTCTTTCTCATTCAATAAAAGGCTGGGCATAGTGGTTGCATGGCTGATATCCCAGTTACTCAGGAAGCATAAATGAGAGGACTGTGCCTTCAGACCAGCCTGGACAAAAAGTAACACTTATTTAAAAAAAATAACTAAAGCAGAAGGGGCTTGAGGACATGGCTGAAGTAATAGAGCATTTGCCAAACAAGTCGGAGGCTTTGAGTCCAAACCACAATGTTTCCCCCTCCCCCCAAGAAATAGGGAAAAAAAGGAATGTTGTTTGAAGATTTCATTTGAAAATAAAAGGTAAATGCATTACTTTTCTCTTAAGTACTGTAAAACAAAGACAATAGCCCAGCTACTCTATGAATGACATTTGACAAGTCCAGTGCTAGAAGATGTCAGGAGTGCTGATAAACTAAACAATGCAAACCCTATTTCAAGAGAAGGACCCCAACCCTCAGTTCCAATGTCTTGTCACACCCTCTTCCTACCAAAATGTCATTTCCTTTTAGAGTTGCAGGAAAAAAATTCAAGAGAATGTAGAAATTCAGTTTTATGTGCAATCTCTAAATTTCTTTAAATACTGACAATTGTGTGTGCGTGTGCGTGCACACATGCACACGCATGCACATTTTATCCTGTATATACCAGCAACCCCTGCAGGTCAGCTAATCAAATATGATACAATATGAGGCTACCAGCTTGGTAAGGACTGAACGTCTTTCTAGATTGAATTAATATATAAAAACATATAAAAATGAATGCTTGATGTACTGTTCACTCAGCTTAGCAGTGATCTTAATTAGTAGAAGCTGTTAGCTATATCAGCTTTTGCTACAAAAAATGCTGGGTAAGAAACAACCACAGACCGGGAGGAGCATCAACAGCAAGCATTTATTTAGGTCCTGTGTTGAGTTCCCTAGAAGTCAGCTGATATAATCAGGGCCTAGAAGAACACCTGTATCCCATCCTCTTTGGATAAGGGAGCAGGTGGAGACCCCTGCTCCAGGCGATGGCAGAAGTTCGGGAATAAGGCTCATGGCACAAGAGCTTTTCAACATCTCAGTCAGATCCCCTCTATATACATTGCATTGGGCAAAGCAAACATGTCCAAACCCAAGGTCAGGTGTAGGGAGGCATACCCCACGTACAGGGAAAGGACAGAAGAACCAACTTGAAGCTAAGTCATAATTTAATTCATTCACCTTCTTGCATCTCCAGCCTTTCTTTTTGTCCCAAAGAAACTTTATTTTTCTCTTTCAGTGATTTTGTCTTCTTTTTCTTTTTTTTAGTCAATATGTTCCACCATGAACCCACCTTTGAAACTTACAAATTATCTTAAGTTTTGTAACATTTTATCTCTGCATATTCTTCACTATTTATCAGATAAGCAGAACCCTGGGAGAGCTGGGTAAGGGGGTGCGGGGCGCAGACACTCTTGGAAGACACTGTAATCTGGTGAAACACAACCCTTCCTGCCTTATAGCTGAGTAGCTGCTGCTGACATCGAACAATCCAGCAGCTTTTAAAAGCCTTATATTTTTATATAGGCTCATGAGAGATTGCACAGCTTTTTCAGAATTGGTTACATGCCTCCCATTGCTGGTGTAGAAAATGAAAAAAAAAAAAATGTAAAGAACACAAAGCTGTGTGTAAGAAGGAGCAGTTTATGTCCTTGCCAAGAAGCCAGTAATGGTATCACTAGATTGGAATAATTTTAGAGAAACAAATATTCCTACTTAAAAGAATAACTGTTTAACTTACTTTCAGGGTAAATGAACTTTAATCCCAAGGCCTTGATCTTCAGAGGGACTGGGAGGAGCTAACTAAACCTGGTTCATCTGTATGACATGGTGATTTATTGGCCAGCCCCAGAAGTTTGCAAACTCTGCCCAAACTGGAGTGGAGACAGTGCTTTGTAACTGTGGCCTACAGGCTTGATATGGCCTACCACCTGTTGTTGTCAAAAAGTCTTATGAGAACATAACCAGGCCTGTTGGTATATGTGTTATTTTCAGCTCCTTAAGCTGTAGTTGTCAAATGGTAGAGTTCCAGTTGAAATCATATGACTCACAGAGACTAAAATATTTACTGTTTGACCCTTCACAGAAAAAGTTTGCCACCCCCACGACTAGGGCATGGTGGTAACTATTTAAAAGGTAAGAGATTTTACTTCTTGTATATCTTACTAAAATTAAGTGTTATAAAAGTGTTTAGATACTCATACTTAATGCCCATTCTTATCAATAAAAAGGATCATTGATTGAGGAGGTAAAAATCACTTTGTACAACTATTTGAAGATAATTTTTAAAATTAAATAAAAAGAATAGGCTGGGCACTGTTAGCTCTCATCTATAAGCCTAAACTACTGAACAGGCTGAGATATGAGGATCACAGTTCAAAGCCAGCCCAAGCAGGACAGTCTGTAAGACTCATATATCCATTAAGCACCAAAGCACACACATAAAAAAGGAAAAAGTACCCTTGCTAAAAAAAAAAAAAAAAAAAAGTGCTGGAAGTAGAACTGTGGCAAAAGTGGCAGAGTGCTAGCCTTGAGCAAAAAAGGGAGGGTTCTCAGAATCTGAGTTCAAGCCCCAGGACCAGCATCAAAATAAGTAAATAAAAATAAGTAACTAAAAAAAATTTATGTATAGGGGGCTGGGAAGTTGGCTCAGTGGTAAACCGCTTGCCTTGCATGCCTGAGGCCCTGGGTTCGATTCCTCAGCACCACATAAGCAAAAAGAAAAAAAAAGCCGGAAGTGACGCTGTGGCTCAAGTGGTAGAGTGCTAGCCTTGAGCTGAAGAGCTGAGGGACAGTGCCCAGGCCCAGAGTTCAGGCCCCACGACCGGACCCAAAAAAAAAAATTTATGTATAATTTTAATTTATATATAATTTTATATTGTATATATAATTTTATATTTGTATATAAATTTATTATATATTATATATTTATTGTATATAATAATCTGGGCATTGATGGTTCCTATCTGTAATCCTAAACTATTCAGGGGGCTGAGAGCTGAGGATTGTAGTTGGAGCTAGGCCAGGCAGAAAAGTCTTTGAGACTCTTATCTTCAATTAACTACCAAAAAGCTTGATGTGGCACTATGACTATAGTGGTAGATTGCTAGTCTTGAGTGCAAAAGCTTAGGGACAGTACCCAGGCCCTGAGTTCAAGTACCAGGATTAGCACAGCATAATTAATTAATTAACTAGAATTTGACTTCTGTTTCTCTTTTTGGACATCCATATTTAAAGAGTTTTTTAAAGATAGTTTTTGGAAAAATCATTGAAACAATCACCGTTTATACAGGTTGAATTTTTGAAAGTGAATCCATTCATTGTATTTATCAGCTTCATCATAGAATCAAGAATTGTTCTAAAGTTTAGAAAGAATGTAATGTTTGCATCTTATACTTCTGGAACAACTACTCACCCGTTCCACTAGAGGGAATGGATAATCATGAATGCAACGATAAATGAATGACCGTTTAAATCAGGCTAGTACTGGTTAAGATGTTAGGATTGGATCTTCTCTGGAGGAAGACTGACTAACATTCAGAAGACTTGAGTTAAACCTGTGAGGCTAGATATGGGGTTGAAGTTGGCTTTAGTTTTCTGCGAAGTATTAGTATATCTACACTCTACTGTACCCCATTCATCTTATTGAATTCTCCTTCAGCTACTGTTCACACACACACACACACACACACACACACAAGAAATCCACCAAACATTTTTGATACAAAGCCAAGTATGGTAGCATATGTCTATACCACTCAGGAGGCTGAGATAGGGGAATTGTTTGAGCCCACGAATTCCAGACATGTCTGGGAAGTATAGTGAAACTGCCTAAAAACCAAAACAAAACTGTTTCATCTAAAATGTTTTAACATTTAGAATATGTACATGTGTTCTCTGTTCCGACACTTGGCAGATTTGCAGGATTAAAGCAGTATGTGGGTTTAAATAAGAGCACATTGTCCTGCTGTGATTTTAAATGTCTAGTTTTGTTTTACAAGATGTAAAGGTGTGGAAAGGGAGAGAGGCCAGGTCTCTGCCTTATTAGAATATGAAGTATATCCTGTCATTTAACATGTTTGGGTCACAATGTTATTCATGATGAGCTTCAGGAGGAAGATTTGGAAGTGCCAGAATATACACACATCTGACACATAGAAACAGAATATACAAACCTCTCTTCCTCAAGTGAACCCTACAGATTTCTGAAGGTACCCTGTAGTTTAGAGACAATAGAAAATATCAGTTGTTCAGACTAATTATAATAAATAATCAACAACTTTCAGATAAATTTCCAAAAATTCACAGGTAGAAGTGTGAAAAGTACATTGGACAGAAAGTAAAGATTATTTCCAGCCAGGCATTAAAAGTGTAGAAAAGAGAGAGATCAGGTCTCTTCCCTGTTAAAATGTAGAACATGTCTCTGTTGTTTAAGATGCTTTGGGTCACAGTTTTTGGGTCACAATCCTAGCTGTTTGGAAGGAGGAGATCAGGTGGAAATCAAGAATTGTGACTTGTGACTAGCCTGAATAGAAAAGTTAACAGGACCCCAGTCTCAGCCAATAAAAAGCTGGTTGGCGTGGTGAGGCACATCTGTAGTCCCAGCTATATGGGAAGTGTAATTAGGGATATCATGATCTAGGCCAACCAGGAATAATACAAGTCCCTATTCAGAAAATGACTAAAGCATAAAGGTTAAAGGATGTCTTAAAGGATAGAGCATCTGTTTAGCCAGTGCAAAGCCTTGAGTTCACACACCTCCAAAAAATATACTAAAACAATGCGTCTATGTGTTTTTCTCTCAAATTAAACTTTATTTGATTGATATACCTGAATATCTAAAAATCCTGAGTGCAGGCCAGGTACTGGTAGCTCATCTCTATAATCTTAGCAACTCAGGAGGCTGAGACCTGGAGATCTCCATTTAAAGCTAGCCCAGGCAAAAAAAGTCCAAAAGACTCATCTCCAATTAACCAGAAAAAGCTAGGCTGGAGGCATGGCTCAAGTGGTAGAGCACCAGCTGTGAGCAAATAAGCCAAGTGATAGCTTGTTACCATGAGTTCAAGTCCTTATTATTGGAGGGGGAGGGGAGGAAGCTTTGGTGTAAATTCTCTACAGAAATTCTTTCCTGTCTCTTCATTGGGAACAAGCAGAGAAGTCATTCTTAGCAGAAAAGAAAGAGTATTCCATTGTAGTCATGGTTTTTTTTTTTTTTATAGATCCTTGAGTTGTGAAATCATTGGTAGGTAGGCCTACAGTTCTATAATACAATTCTATAATACAATTCAATTTTCGTTTGAAAGTAATGACTATTCTTATCTAGAAACCATGATAAATTATGAGTTCTTGTAAACCCACCTTACCATTTTAAATATAGTCAGTGATAAATATGGGTTTGTTATCTTGTTTGCTGTGCCAACAAGTGGATCATCGTGTACTATAAAGCAGATAGTGTATTGTCTTGGATTCTGTTCTCTTCTTTGTGAATGGTATCTTCTGTCCTTTAGCAAAAAGCCCTGATTGTACTAGAGCATAGCAGCTCTTATAAGTTGTTTATCTTATGTGTAACCACTTTTTGTTTTATGATAGTGTTCAAGGACGGTATGTGTCTAGTTTGGGTTAGACCACTAATTCCATTAAGTACATTTGTCTTGTAGGAAACTATCACAAAATTAAAAACCAATTTTATTATGCCAGTCTTAAAATCACTTATACAAAAAAACTAATGTTCACCTACTAACAGCAGAGCATTAGATTAACAGGCCACTGTGAAACTCAAAAATTAAGTACATTAATTAAGACACTATTTCCAGTTGCCAGTGGCTCACACCTATAACCTTAGCTACTCAGGAGGCTGAGATATAAAGAATGTGGTACAAAGCCAACCTGGATGCAAAAATCTGTGAGACTATTAATCAGCAAAAAAAAAAAAAAGAGTGGCTCAAGTCATAGAGAACGAACCTTGAGTGAAAAAGCTAATGGAGAGCTCTTTGCCTCTGAATTCAAACCCAGTATTAGCTCTTAAAAAAAGACAGTATCTATAAACCTTTTCTACATCTCTTGGGATGCTTTGTAGAGATGGTGAAGGGTATTATGCTATATTATAGTCACAGACTTTCTTTCCTTGAGCATTCCAGGCCATTTCTGTTGTCTTTGCTAGGTTGGGGGAGCCTGAATATAGCCAGGAGGTATTAACTTCCTGCTACTGTAACAAATACCTGAGATAGTTCAACTTATAAATGGAAAAAGTCACCACACATGGAGGCTCATGTCTATAATTCCAGACAATTAGGAAGCAGAGGCAGGAGGATCGTGGTTTAAGGCTAATGAAATCAAGCTAGGCCTGGGAGGTCATGCCTGAAATCCAGACACACCAGAGGCAGAAGTTAGGAGGATCAAGTGTAGGACTGACCCTAGATAAAAGAGGAACACCTGGGCTAAAAAAATAAGTAAGGTATAAAGGTCTGAGGTATGGCTTAAGAGGTAGAGCTCCTGTCTAACAAGCACAAAACCTTGAGTTCAAACTCTCGTACTCCCCAAAATAAATAAATACATAAAACATCAGAAAGCGTAAAGGTTAATTTTAGTTCATCATTTTCGAGGTTTCCACTCATGATGAGGCTTGTGATGAGGTATCCCATAATGATAAGAACATAGAATTGACCAAACTTCCTTACCTCGTGGCCAGAAAGCAAAAAGGGAGGGAAGAGCCTGAGGGAAGAGAATACCCTTTAAGGACACGTTCCCAGTGACCTAAAAGCCTCTCCGTAGGCTCCACCTCATCAAGGTCTCAGTAACTACTCCCAAGTACCAACCTAGGGATCAAACTTTTAATACATAGGTCTTTGAGGGGCATTCCAGGCCCAAATTATAATGGAGGTAGTACATAATTCAACCAGTGACACCAGTTCACAGAGCTGGAATTCCAATCTTAATAGTCCAGAGCCCAAGTTTTCCATCTCTACATGACACTGCTTTAACTGTACTGGGATGAGTCATGTGAAGTTGCCCTCTCTGTGGGTCATAGTTGTGTATTGGTAATATGTATGATTCAACCTGAATTATTCCCAAATGATATCATCGGACAAGTGTGTGCACTTTTCAGCACTGAGGAATGCAGATTACCCCAAAATAAAGCAAATATACTATACCTGGAGAATTGTACTCTGTTAAGAAATTTATATCCTATTCTGCTGTTAAGGTAAAGACATAAACCCTCCCACAAGCCCTATTGAAAACAATGTAAGTCATTGTGTGAAGAAGCATCTATTAATCTGTCCTGGCATTTCTATTCTAGCAAGTGTAGGTGTTTTAGACTTAGTGATCAAACCAATACAGATTGTTTAAGCTTCTTGCTAGTATGTTTATTAGGGCTCAGTGGTTAGACAACAGTCAAACCACCTCTCCTGCTGACTTATGCTGAAAAGGAAAATGTCCTTACCTGATTTTTACCAGTGACATAGATTGAAAATTGAAAGTGAGGATGAGCTCAAAATAAGAGAGTATGACATAAATAAAGGCCAAGTCTAGTTGCTCTTTTACATAACTTGTAAATTTAAGTAAACTTCATCTTAAGGAAAAAAAGTGGCCAGGCACTGGTGGCTCATGCCTGTAGTCATAGTTACTCAGTAGGATACTGAGATCTGATAATCACTGATCAAAACAAACCAGGGCAGAAAAGTCCATGAGCCTCTTTGTCTTCAATTAATGACCAGGAAACTGGAAGTGGTGTTGTGGCTTTTAAGTAATAGAATGCTAGCCTTAAGCAAAAGAGCTCAGGGACAGCCCCTGGGTCCCTAGTTCAAGCCCCACAACCAACAAAAAATATTAGCACAGAGCTGGCTGCCATTGGGTCACACCTGTAATCAACCCTACCTACTCAGGAGGCTGAGTTCTTAAAAGGATGAAGGTTTGAAGCCAGCCCAGGCAGAAAAGTTCACTAGATTCATCCCCAAAATAACCAACAACAAGCAGAGCTGGAGGTGTGGCTCAAGCGGTAGATCATCAGCCAAACAAGCAAGCAAGTTAAGTGTGAAGTCCTGAGTTCTGAATACCAGTACTTAAAAAAGTCCATAGAGTAGCTATAATAAGGCAATCTCTACATATACTGGACACTTTATTCAATATGGAAAATCACTTCTCTAGTTATTTTTATTGAATACTAATATTAGCATGTATTTATTATTATTCAGCCTTGCTTCTCTTATTTTTATTGAAGACTTTTCTCTAAATTAATATCATATTATATAAAACTTGAAATTTTTCTCACTGTTCCTGATTTCATTTTTCATGATTTAACTTTACTCTGCTTTGTGAATTAATTCATCAGCTCTATGTAACTCCTATTTCTCTCTTCCAGCTTATTCCCTTTTGGTGCTGGGGGAAAAACCTCACACGTGCTAGGCAAGTGCCTTCCCATGAGCTCTGTAGCCCACCCTCTGCCTGCTTGTCTGTTTTTTTATTCTGTGGGTGGTGTCATCAGAATATATGATTCAGAGGAAAGTTAACGAAAACCTTTATCTGGGTCTTGCTTACATGCCATGAGGTGAAGCTTAGTCATATTAGTAGGGTGTGTGTGTGTGTGTGTGTGTGTGTGTGTGTGTGTGTGTGTGTGTGTGTGTGTGTGTGTGTGTGTGTGTGTGTGTGTGTACACACCAGTCCTGGACTTGAACTCAGGGTCCGGCCACTATTCCTTAGATATTTTTCTTAAGGCTGGTACTCAACCACTTGAATCACATGCAGCTCCACTTTTGGCTTTTTGGTACTTAATAATGAGTCTCATGGATTTTCCTGACCTAGCTGGCTTTGAACCTCAACCTTTAGACTCACCCAGCCATTGATAGGATTTTGCAAATTGGGAATAGCATATGCCTGCCTGGCTTTCATGGTGTCTCCTCTGTTTGTTGTAGGTGTACCAACCCCAAGCCAAGAAATTCTGCGGCATACCCTGAACACACTGGTACGGGAGAGGAAAATCTACCCAACTCCAGATGGTTACTTCATTGTGACCCCACAGACCTATTTCATAACCCCGTCCCTCATAAGAACTAATAGTAAATGGTACCATTTGGATGAGAGGATACCTGACCGGTCTCAGTGTACCTCTCCACAACCTGGAACCATAACGCCCTCTGCCTCAGGCTGTGTCAGGGAAAGGACATTGCCCAGAAACCACTGCGACTCTTGCCACTGCTGCCGGGAAGACATGCATAGCATGCACGCCTCCACTCTGCAGAGGAAAGCCACCAAGGACTGCAAAGACCCCTACTGCCCGCCTTCGCTCTGCCAGGTGCCACCCACTGAAAAAAGCAAAAGTACTGTCAATTTTTCCTACAAGACAGAAACTCTCTCCAAACCGAAAGATAGTGAAAAGCAGTCCAAAAAATTCGGGCTCAAGTTATTCCGGCTAAGTTTTAAGAAAGATAAGACTAAACAGTTGGCCAATTTTTCCGCCCAATTCCCTCCTGAAGAATGGCCCCTGCGTGATGAAGACACGCCAACCACTATCCCTCGGGAAGTAGAGATGGAAATCATTCGGCGGATTAACCCGGACTTGACCGTGGAAAATGTCATGAGACACACTGCACTAATGAAGAAACTTGAAGAAGAAAAAGCTCACAGGAGCAAAGCGGGATCTTCGGCCCACCACAGTGGGAGGAGTAAAAAGAGTAGGACTCACCGAAAGTCTCATGGGAAGTCTCGGTCCCATAGTAAGACACGGGTGTCTAAAGGAGACCCTTCGGATGGCTCCCATCTGGATATCCCTGGAGAAAGAGAGTATGACTTTTGTGATCCCCTAACCAGGGCCCCAAGGGAGGGCTGCTTCATCATCGAACACAAAGGAGACAACTTCATTATGCACAGCAACACAAACGTGATCGAATCCCACTTCCCCATGACACCAGAATGGGATGTATCTGGTGAATTGGCCAAAAGGAGAACTGAGATGCCTTTTCCTGAACCTTCCAGGGGAAGCTCCCACTCAAAAGTGCACCGAAGCCACAGCCATACCCAGGACCGAAGGTCCAGGAATGAGAGATCCAACAAAGCCAAGGAGAGGTCCAGATCCATGGATAACTCCAAAGGTCCCCTGGGTGCTTCTTCTCTCGGGACGCCTGATGACCTGGCTGAAGGGTGTAGCCAAGATGACCAGACCCCCAGCCAATCCTACATCGACGACAGTACTTTAAGGCCTACCCAGACTATTGGTCATCAAAGGGCTCACATCTCATCTACGAGCTATAAAGAAGTGTGCATTCCAGAAATAGTCAGTAGCAGCAAGGAACCTTCTAGCGCATGTAGCCTTTTGGAGCCAGGCAAACCCCCTGAGAGTTTGCCTTCCTATGGTGAACTCAACTCTTGTCCAACAAAAACAGCTACCGACGACTATTTCCAGTGTAACACCTCCAGTGAGACGGTGCTCACGGCACCCTCGCCTTTGGGGAAGAATCAGGAGGACCATGACACACTAACCTTGACAGAAGGGGTGAAAAAGCTGTCTCCATCTGAGAGGCAAGTCCCTCACTCCTCCAGGGAGCCTCCCGGGCACAACAAGGAAGAGTCACCCAAAGGGCCCGGTGGAGGCCCTGCTGCTTCAGGTGGAGTGGCTGAAGGAATTGCCAACGGACGCCTCATCCAACACCACAGCGCTGAGCCCAGCAGCCTAGACAAGAGGAAAGAGATATTCAGCAAGGACACCCTGTTCAAACCTCTTCACAGCACCTTGTCTGTAAACAGCTATCACAAATCCAGTCTGTCCCTCCTCAAATCTCACCCCAAAACACCTGCTGACACACTGCCAGGCCGATGCGACAAACTGGACCCTTCCCTTGGGACGTCGGCAGCACAAGCCATGCCCACTTCCCAGCGCCAGCAGGAGTCTGGAGGGAACCAGGAAGCCTCTTTTGACTATTACAATGTCTCCGATGATGACGACTCTGAGGAAGGGGCCAACAAAAACCCAGAGGAGGAGAAAAATAGAGATGATGTGGGCACTATGCAGTGGCTCCTGGAGAGAGAAAAGGAGCGAGACTTGCAGAGGAAATTTGAGAAGAACCTTACCCTCCTCACTCCAAAAGAAACAGACAGTAGCAGCAACCAGAGAGCCACCCATTCCGCCAGGCTTGACAGCATGGACAGCAGCAGCATCACTGTAGACAGTGGATTCAACTCCCCACGGTAGGGAGAGATGTCTCTCTGCACATGCATACACCTACCAGGGCCTGGGGCTTTATGCACATAGCTTGTAGAGTTTCTGGCTTCACAGTCTGGGTTCTGTGAAGGAGGGTTAAGAGTTGTGTGAGTTATATTGTTAACAGCTTGTTTCTGACTTCTTTTTCAGGAATTGAAAAAAAAATGTTTCTGCAGCTGTAGAGATCACCAATCTGGACTGGTGGGTTGGCGCCTGTCCCTCAAACTTGCCTCTGCCCAGTCTAACTAAGATCACCACCTCCCAGTACCTTTTTATTTATAAACATATATTGCCACTAGGATGCAACTTTTTTTTAGAAGAATAAGGTTAGAGGGTAAATAAATGGATGTGAAGCCAAGAATCCTTCTACTGGGAATGTGATAGCAGATCTTAAAATCTCTTCAGAGACTCTGGAAGGTTGCTACCCTTATTATTCCTACTTTGGGTTGGCCTGCCTATTTGTTCTAACACCTTGCTCTTTTCACTCATGTCTCTATACAGAAATGGAAGCTAGTTAGTAGCTTCTGCTCTGTGAGATCATCATTTCTGTTTCTTCTCCTGCAGAATTGACACAGCCCATTTAGACACTGTCATTATACCCTCTTTAATTTCACACATTTGGTACCACTGCAGAGTTGAAAATTAAGAGTGTACAGCCTGATGGCCAATGGCAAAGCATGGAATTTGTTTCAGAGTTATAGAAGCAAGCCATCTGCCTCTACATTTCCTTTTTTTCCTCCTCTTAAGTTCTTTCCTTTCTTTTAAGAACAACTTGGGTCCTAAATCTCCTCAGTTCTATTCCAGATTGGTGACTCTAAGATGCAGAAATACTACTGAGTGACAGTCCTCATCTGCCAAGATTTCCAAGCTCTTCTAATACTTATCCAGTAGGATAATGTACTTCATATATGTATGTTAATCATGAAGAATTAAAATTGATTTCTGGATACTGTGGGGACAGAACATCCCAAAGTCAGAATTGGGAATCATTCACCAGTTTGTCCCATATCAGGCTTTTTCTAAATTTCTTCAAGGTCGAGTTCTTAATTATCAGTGTTACTGTAATCACAAAGCCTTGTTTGAAAGTTAGCATAGGTGTGGACATTCTAATGTCCAGCCAACCTCAGAGCTGGCATTCCAGTTAAAGGGGCTGGGAGATTAGAGTTTCAGGTCACGTCTTCCCCTTCCAGATCCCTAAGAGACTTCAGAGAGCTATATCACCCAATCTGAAAACCACTGACCTCATTAGTGATTTTCCTAAGAAATTGTTTTGGGCCAGGCCCTGACGGCTCATACCTGTAATCCTAGATATTCAGGAGATTGAGATCTGAGAATCACAGTTCAAAGCCAGCAGTGGCAGACAATATGGCCAGACAGTTGCTCCAATTAACCAGCAAAAAGTCAGATGGTGGTGTGGCTGAGCGAGAGCACAAGAACCTGAGTTGAAGCCACATGAATACTAGTACCAAAAAGAAAAAGATAAAAGAATTCTTTATGCTAATTTTTTAGTTACAAATCAAATTTTAAGTTATTTCCCAGCTTATTTTTCTCTGTCCTTTTCTACTTACTGTTTCAGTTCTGCTCTCTTTTTTTATTCCTCTGAAACACTAGAAGATACCAGATAAGTATAATTGAAAGAGAGAGCCTTTGCTTATGGGACAGATGGTTTATTTGCTGCCTGTGTCTTTAAATTCTGGTTTTCTCATTAATATAAGCTCTACTGCCTAATGCTTTTCATACAATAGTTTCAAATCCTTGACTGCCTCTTCAGCTCCTGGACTTCCACTGATAAAGAGCCCAGTACTCCAGAGATTGTTGCAAAGGAGATATTGAGAGTAGTTCCATGGGTTCTAACTCAAAATACTATTAATGCATAATATGGGAAGTTTTGTTTGCTTAGGGGTAAAACAGAAATATTCATGTGATAGTTGAACCAGAATCTTCGCAGAATTTATTACCTCAAATCCTGAGGGGCAGGATATAGGATTTATGACTGGAATTTATTATGTATACAAGTAAGTTTATTTTCATTTTTAAAATAATGAACTTTAAGAATGGCGTGCTTTGTCATAGTAGGAGGTAAAGTGGTAAGGAAATGGTCTCTCTCTGAGCCGCATACCTGTCCACTAACATGGGGAATGGTTGTCTCTACAGCAATCTGTAGAGAATTAATACGTACAGAATTAATTTTAGGCAGTTAGGGAATCTATGGAACAGTTCCTAATGTTACCTCTCTCATATTTTACATCCTTTGGTTAGAAGCTAGATAAACTTGTTTCAACTTAGGAGTTTTAGTTTGAGTAGCATTTTAGCTAAATAACATTAGCATACTGATAACCTTTTCATTGCTGCAAGCCATGAAAATTTTAAGTGGGCCATTTATTCCAGTCTTTCAGTAATTCACTAAACAACCAAAATGACATAGAAAAGGTAATTTTTTTTCTCTACACTGGGCTGGCATTCCTATCAGCCACATTTCCAACATTCCTTAGTTCTTTTTGGAACTAAAATAGGAAAAGAGAGAAAGAGTAGAAATGAGAAGATTACGAAAAGTGCATTAGGAGATCTATTTCAGAGGTTTAAAATCTTGACATAAAAAGATGGCTGTTCAGAAATTGAGGCCAAAAACTGGTCGAGCAACAACAGTATGAAAACAACAGAGGCCAAAGACTGGCAGGAACAGGTGGGCCTAATGTGGAAATGACCATGGGCTGCAGAAATCCAGGGCCCGGGGACACACCCAGACCCAAGGATGGGCAGAGATGCTGCTTGCTTCATTCTCCTGCCTGTGAAGTCCCCAGATCTTATTTGTATAGCTGTACTGCATTAGTGCTCTTTTCTTAAAATAGTAATTCAAGAAGTATGTTTACTGTCCAAATATCCATCTCTATTAGCTTTTTCCTCAGCGTATCTAGAGTCCTCAATATGAATGTCACAAGCTGTACTCATTATTACCACAGTAATGAAAGATGTTCTTTGTGGAAAGTAGGATAATTTATTCATATTAATATATTGGCTACAGTCAAAAATGTTTAAGGACATCTTTACTACAGAGTTTCTCCCAACTTCAATGATATATTATAATTTTTGTTTCCTCTAATTGCTATACTGGCTGCAGAGAGCAGGTAACTGAATAAACATTAAACTAGATTGAAAGCAGATCCTTTGGATTTTAAGATGCATTTTCCTATAGTAAAGACATCATTGGTGATGTACAGATTCTCATCCCAACCCACAGAAACTATGTAATTCATTGTATGCTAGATGTACAACAGAAATAAGTTATTTCTTAGCTTTTAATGTACAAATTCTTCATAGATGCTTCTTTCTTCTTCATATTCACTCTGAGAGTAAGTAAATCAACATCAGAATTGTCCCCATGATAAATATGAGAAAATCAACTATGCTCTATATTCAAGAAAAGTAAAGTGGTCCTGGTAGTCAATGAACATATTGCTTCTTAAACAGTTCACTCCTGGCCTCTTGGTAAGAAGTAGATCCAGGCCCCAAGGGATCAGGATTAAATTACTTGTTGGAAAGAACTGCCAAGGCATTTAGACAGGAGTCCTATGACTTAGGGAGGGGATGAACGAGAAGGACAACTTGTTTCCATTGTAGTAGTTTGACCTGTTGATTACCTTTAGCTAGTTTCAATCAGTTACAGAGACTGTAACTTTCCTAATAGTTTATGAACTCTGCATCTATCCAATGGGGTAGATATTTTGAGAATGACTTTCGTTTCTTCACTGTCTGTGTAAATTGGTAAGTTTCTTATAGCCACTCTTAGGAGTTTGATCATGAAACTTGAATTATTTATTTACCCCTCAATCAGGCTCAGGCATTTTATTTCTGCTATTGCTCTACTACATATTTAAAATGCCAAAGGTCCTAATCTTAAAGGGAAAAAAATGCATTCAAATATTTAAGAATTTTTACCAAGGGGAGGCAGAAATGAATGTAAACTTTGTAAATCTATGGAAAAAATATCTAAGGTCCTTAATCTGAAAATATAATTGTATGTTAGCTGAGGTGTTAAAATTTGAAACAAGTATTTATAAGAATTTGATTCCCATCAAGGGAGCAGATTAACAAATGGTATATGCTTCAAGCCCACCAAAGTTAAAATAAAAAAAAAAGAAGGAAGGAAGGAAGGAAAGACATCTTGTAATCAAAGACAAAAATGCATTCATTAAGGTGAAAATAAGTGAGTTTATTCAAAAACAGGAATGCCCATAAATTTCTAGCTTGTGATAAGATCATTAGACATTTTGAAATGTGTGATAGGTATCCATCACATCAAATTTTTAAGTAGTTTCTTAAACATGAAAGAGGAGGGAAACCATTTCAAAGTACATTTGGGGGTTTCAAAGCTTTTATTTTTCCAGTACATTGAGGATTGTAACATGTCTCATCTAAGAACCTGGAGCCCCAGCTGGAAGAGCATATGCAAATAATCAGTGGAGATGTATATTGATATGACATGGTGAACCAACAGAGGAAATCCATTAGCTCTTCCTCCAGGGCTCAACATATAATTATTTATGTTCAAAGCAAAACAAAATCAACCCTCTTTACTCTTTTAGTACTCGGGAGAGCCTGGCTTCCAACACATCAAGCATCGTTGAAAGTAACCGCCGTCAGAATCCTGCTCTGAGCCCAGCCCATGGTGGAGCTGGCCCAGCCTTCAACTTCCGTGCAAGTACAGATCCCCCAACCAATGAAGCTGAGAAATTACAGAAACCTTCCAACTGCTTGCAAGCTTCTGTTACTAGTGTGTGATAGTCCTTCTGCCTCAGATCATCTGTCTCATTCAATACAGCAAAGTTTACGACACTGGGGCTGATGTTTACATCTTTGGAAAGACAAGCATCTCCAGTGCAGTTTGGAGGTTTACTTCAACTGTGCTGCTAAGTAGGCTAGGGCAAAAAAAAAAATCTTTATTTCAGAGTATTGCTCTTTTCACATTTATGGCTCTGTAGCAACCGAATAGCAGTAGGGGTGATATGTATACTTTTGCTTCACTAATTGTAGCTGAGCACACATAGGAAAGTCTAGACACTGTAAGTGGAATATGCATTTTCAATGTCATGCAGTTGCCAGTTTCATTTTTAAATGCCACAGATACGTGTTGCTACCAGTCTGTGGTTAAATGGGGCCACAGAACTGATCCTTACCACTTCAAAAAAAAAAAGAAAAGCCACTACAAAATACCAAGTTCAAGGTGTTCACCTTGAGGGAAATTAATGCCAAACTGACCAGAGGGACACCCCCCCCACACACACACACACCAGCCCCTTTGTGTGCGAAATCTTCTTTATGCACTAGTCATTCTTCACTGTGAGTTTCATGACACTGTTTTTACAGGCGCCCATGGAAGTGTGTCAGAAGGGGTCATGATGGAAAAACTGGGAGTGTTTGGGGGATTTTGTTTTCCAGTATATCAGATGCTTGTCTTGATTTGTAACCTTCCATAATCACAAACAGGAATATAGGCCTTTGAATCTGTTGTGGGAAAAGGGAGAAAATTCCCAATTTGGCCGGGCACAGTACTAAGTGATGGAAGAGGTACTATTGTCTGTTAAAAGCGATCAGTCAAATATTGAAAGGAAGATCATTTCCTCCTTGTGATACTTATGATGATCCTATCTTACTATAATAGATACAATAATTAGTTTGTTTAAAAGCAAAATGTTCTTTGTGATACAAATGAAGAGTATGGCCTGAGGATGTTATTCTTTCTAATGGAAGGACATAAATCTATTTTATGTAGTTTTAAATAGAATGCCTAAATTAGGCTGAGGGAGATAATTTTTAGTGGTTATAGGAAAGAGCAAATTTAGGGAGAGTTGAACTTAAGGCCTTTTATTCCTGGGAAGATATCTATAGAGAAAACTTTTAAAGTACTTTTTGATTACAAATATACATGTGCCCATGAAATAACAGAATGTGCTCATTCTGCTAGTGTGGTATACCCATGATTTGTACTCCCCTAAAATTTACCAGAATAACAAGTATGCATTCATGAACTATGCCAGAGTAATGTTTACAGATACTTTGTAACCAATTTCAGGAGGTGTTTAATGTAGTCATTAGCCCAAGTTATTTCAGAATGGTTTGTTCGCATCGTGCTTTGGTTTACAATGTCATGTTGAATTGGAAGAAGGCTCAGCTGCAAAGGGATTACAAAACAATTAAGCGTCAGTCTTACAGGAAAGAGACATTTCAAAGTTCCCTTTTTTTTCTCTCAGAATAATGGAATACATCTGTAGGTAATGGGAAACTATTTGCAAAAGAGTTACTTCAATAGCTAGTAAATGATCTGACACAAACTTTTATTTAGTTTAGTGGCATGTGCTGTTTGGAGCCATATGCTATAAATTATATGTATAGATACATATATATCTAAAACTCTAAAATATTTTCACCTAAAATTTGTGAGACACTTGGGTTTCCATATCAGGCCTAACTACTTGCAATCTGTTTAAGTGAGGCAGTCATATATATATGGATATATACATATTTATATTCATATTCTTGAAACATGAATACCCCCTCATGCTTTATCAGCTATTTGGATACTACATTGGTCCAACTAGACTCCTCAAAATTGGAAATTTTCTTTTGTGTGATTATTACATTGAAACTTAAGCACATATTTTTAGTAAACTGTCACATTATTTAAAGATTTAAATCAATTGTCTTTCATTTGCATGCCTTATTTCCTCCAAGGTGTGCCTCAATTGCCCAGAAATGAATTGCTTAGCTCATTGCTTAAGTATTTGAGAAGAAATGACTAATAGACTACATACTCTGTTTCCTTGGGGAGCTATATACCGTACAGTTGCTAAATTTTTTTCTGTCTAAAATTCATTTTTTCCCAAAAAAACCTGCTCTCAAGTTCTTATCATACTCAGTTCATAAATAATATAACCATTAAAACAATGCATCAGCCTCTGGTTGACCCTCTGAAAGTCTCCATGGAAACAATCAATGCTGTATGAGCAGGAAAGGACATCATTACCTTTAAGAGAAGCTTTAAAATATGAATTTATCGATGTTTCACAAAGAAATAGGTTTACAGAATATATTATTCAAATGAAATGTGTATGCTAATTTGCTGGTGGAATACATGGCTTAAAAGAAAAAAAAGCAAAACTTCTGTAGACCAGCAGCAGCCATTAGCATAGAAATGATAGGCTTTAAAGATGCTCTACCATGTAAACACATGTTCCATGTAGAAATGCTCTCATCTGAATCCAATCTGGCTTCTTCAATGGAAGAGCTGGTGGCAGGAGGCTACTCATTCACAGATGTGACATGTGGAAAGAGATGCACATGTACAAGAGAGTTACAGCAAGATAGGGAGACTCAGGACCCCCAGCCGTGGGGCCATCTCCTCGCTTTGCCAGTTGTCTTCTCCTCCAGTGGAACCCTAACTTTGTATTACACGACTGCTTGTCTAGTTTAAGAGTTTCTCCACTGTAAGGTTTACAAAAATGAATCGGGTTGAATCTCTGTGAGGCATTCAACTTTAAAGGGTCAACACATCTGTCAGCATTTTGCACACTTATGTATTATTATGATACAGCATATTACTTTATGGTAATTTTTATTTTTACATATAACTACCTCCATGAATTTGATGAGATGTCAGCAGTGTGTTCAGAAGAGCAACACTTCACACTCCAACATTCGGCCATGGCGTTCTGTGTGTGTGTGTGTGTGTGTGTGTGTGTGTGTGTGTGTGTGTGTGTGTGTGTGTGTGTGTGTGTGTGTGAGTGAGTGACTCCCAATGTGGACTCATGAGTTTTTCACCTCTATGGTTTCCTTCCATGGCTGTCTTTGGCTCTGAGCTGTAATTCAGTCTTCTTTTCTCTTCCCCATGAAAGTGCACTTGATTTTGTCACAGATGAACAGAAGTTTAAGAATTCTTGGTCTTCCCCCATCTCCATTCCTGCTCAAAGTTCCCTCTGGCAGAGAGCCAATTGGTGAATATAATTTGGCCAACTATTTGCCCCTGTAGAGATCTGATTGGATTGCTAGTATTTCAGTAACAGAAGACACACCAGAAATCTGGACTGCTCATTCTGAAGCACTTTGGGCCTCTTGGCCTTTCTTACATGCTACCCCGTGAAGCCCAGACTTCACTTTCATGAAAAGAGCTGTGCTGTGCATTTCACGACTTCTATTAAATAATTTGGATTCCATTTGATATATTTTGCACATCTCAGGGGACCTTAATGAGCATATGAAAAGAGGGTGTACCCAATAGAAAAAATAAATAGAGGAGCTGAAAGGGGACTAGCTGGATAAAAATAACAAATTCCTGCTTCTCTGATGTTGGGAAGCTCAGGTTCAGGAAGCATAAATTGAAAGTCAATCTGGAGTAACAATGATCTGAACACCAGCTGTTCTCAACTCTCTCTTTTTCATAACCCAGCCAGCATGTCAAAAATGCCAATTTAAATTCGGTTGCATTCAGCATCAAGAGAAGAAACCTGTTGCATAGAAAAGGAAGCATGGGTCCTTTTTTAGGTCAGCACAGCTTTGCAAAATTCTACCCAGGATAAACCACTTGTTACCACAAAGTGTACTTGAAACTAAAGTTTTTAATATAAATGATAGGCATAGTTCTCATAATACAATAGGGGTCACTTTTGGAAAAGCCTCACTATTTATAACATGGGTAGATCTGGATTTAAAAGACATTGACAACCAATAATGCTTTCAAAGCACTAGATTCGCAAACCATTAACGCAGCAGGTCATATTTGTAATCCCCATACTTGAAAGGAGAACACAAAAGGAGTGACTTTTAGATTACCCCCAAACACAATGGCAGCTACCAATGACCTGTTCTCTATCTCTTTGATAGACCATCATTAGAAATCACTAAATACAATGCTATTTTTCTGATGTGTGCTAATCCAGTCAACACAAATACCACTTTGCATCCTTATCCATTCTCATTCAAAAAGTTCAGAGTATGTTGGAAACTCGCACCTCAGCACACCTTACGAGAATTGAATTACAAAGAGAAAGACAAGCCAGTTCACCTCAGTGCTGTTGGAGTCTGAGGCCAATCCAGACATTTGCCCTTGTTTACAGCTTTATATTGGGTTTCTCTAATTCCCATGATAAAACATTCCCATCTTTAGCAACATGACCGCTCCAGGCAGTGGAAGGTGCTGAAACAGAAAATTTCAAAACTTTTATCAAGTATTCTTCACTAGTAGTGCTCCATTGCACAATAGAAATCCCGTATACGATATTGAACCCTACCTTATGGGATCTACGTTTCCAAGGGAGCTGATCCAGTTAGGAACTGTATGATTCTCCACATGGATCTTATCAGTTCCCACAGGTCAGGCCTAAATCCAATCAGCAGCGTATTCTGTCCAAGCACAGTGAGCCAAACGCAAGTGGTTCTCACCCCTTCCCATCTCCCAGCACTACCTTTCCCATTGTCAAAGTCTTTGGTATCTTGCATTAGTGAGAGACTCTTCTGCATAGATCTAGAGCTTGGGAATCTAGAACGTGGGGAAAAATTAAAGCCATGGGAGACATTGTTTTGTGGTTGTCTTTTTTTTTTTTTTTGCATTAGTAAACTAGGGGCAGGAAGGAGATTACTATCCATCTAAACTTTGCCAAGTAAAATAAGGATAAACTGTCACCCTATCCCTTTTACAGAAGGTTTTAGAGTATTAAGGATATATTCAGTGTCTTCTCACAAGACTTTTATTTAGGAGCATTTCATAACATACATGAAATATTTTATTGTCAAATATTCATGCAGACATTAGAATCTCCCTGACTGAGTTAATCTTTGCTCTTTTTTTTGTTTGTTTTTGCAGCACTATCCCTAAGAGAGATTCCCCAGTGACCACTCCTCTAACACACAATCCTGTGTTTTTAGAGTTGTTCTATGACTTACAGTTGACAATTTACAAGATTCAGAATTCTGCAAAGCTCAAGGGGGCATTAAACCTTCTTACAATTGTATGTGATCTGTTATAGGGCTTTAATAGCTAATTGCTGGCTTCATATGTGAACACACATACACCATGCCAACAATGGAATACTTCCAAGTGAGACAGCCATGGGCCCGGAAGGTAGATGTTTGGCTAGCCCTGTGTGCAGCTCCCTACCTTCTAGTCCAAAGGCTGATTTTGGTACTGTTTCCTGGCTCCCGCCAAAAAGAGGTGCCAAATCTGAGACCTGAGCTTTCCATTGATACCAATCCTTTGCACTTGCAGCAAGTTAATCATCTAGTGTGCACTCAACAACCCCACCCCTTCCTATCATCAGAAGGCCACCCTCCCTGCTTCCTTCCCATCACCCAATGAGATCCCTAGACCACAGTTTCCACATGGCAAGGGCAGAATACTCTGCAGTGCTGGTTAGGAACAGAGCTGTCCTAGGATCACTTTCATGTAAGTATCAATAACTACGAATTAAAGTCCTTAGAGCAGTGACATAGATACTTTTTTGGAAGAGAATTAAATTGAAACGTCCAGTTTAAAAGGATCATAATTCTGCAGGTATCTTTCTCTGAGTGACTGAATGTGACTATTGCATTAGGGTAAATGAATTAAGAAGTGCAAGTGGGGTTTACTGTATGTTAGAAAGGAGTTTTGCAGCCAAGACTGCCTTGAATAAAATGTGTTTGCACTGAAAAAATAAATAAATAAATTACTTGGTCTCTGGTTGCTGTAAAGGTCATCCAAGATGGATGTTCTGTTTATATTGTATAGTATTTCATATGAAATAATTACAGTTCATGAAATGTCTTCCCTAATGTTACTGATTTATAACAGCACATTTGTAACATGGTTTTTATCGTGTCAGTGTACCATATTGTAAATGAAGATTACTTGTCATGCTTAGTATAATAACTTAAAAGAAAAAAAAAGGACAGGGATTTTTGTAAGTCTATATTTGAAAGTCCCTCCATATGGTAATATTGTGTTCATGTTGTTTATGTAGTGTTGTGTGAAATATCCATTTTGGATTGTGTTACTTTTTAAGATATTAAATAACATTTGGTTATATGTCTAAGTGGATTTTTTTTTGTTACTTGAGACTATTTCACGTGCGATCAGTTAATTCCCTTAATTCATGTGATTCCATAATAAATCTCTGTTGTACATTCTTTTATTATTTGAGCTTTGGAGTTAGCACTATTAAAAATTGAAATTTCAGGTCAAAACCATTGAAATACCAGGAATGTTGAGTCATATTTTTTAAACTGTACTTGAAACAGGACCAGAGTTCAAGAGGCATATAATTGGGTTTTCTATATGAAATCATAAAGTAGCATGGTTAGTTTGGCTAAATAGTAATAATCACAACTTTTATCCCTAGCTGAATGTGTGTGTTTACAGGCAAACACAGAGATGGCTCACACATTCTGGTGAAACACTTGCCTAAATTTGGAACACCTCCATGTTTAATCTGCTTCAGAATCTATTATACAGTCAGCCCTCTCCGCTCACAGGTCCCTAATTCCTCCAGCAAACTGTGGATTGAAAATATCTTCTAAAGAGTGTGCATTGAACATGTATACATTTTTCCTTGTCATTTATTCTCCACAAAACAGTCTAATAATTATTTTCAGGCATTTACATTGCTGTTGGCATAAATAATCTTAGAGCTGATTTGACCTGTATCATCTTGAGATATGAATAAGTTGTATGCAAATATTACATGGTTTTACATTAAGGATTTTAGCATCTCCAAGCTTTGGTATCTGTGAAACCAATTCCTTGGAAGTACCAAGAGACAACTGGACACTCTTGATCCTCTTCCTTTGTCTTTTCAAACTCAAAGTGATTTGCTGTCAACTGTTTGATTAGACTTAAGAAACCACAGTTTTTATTTTAACACACGATAGGACTATACAGTTGAACTTTATTTTCTTATAGAATTAATTTCCAAAACAGACTTCCAAAAATCATTTTAAACAGTGATCTTGTCCTTTGAAGAACAAGTCTTATTTGTTTGCATAAGTCTGTCTACCTATTTTAAACTATCAGGATATATGCTCCCATTTTCATGTCTGAAGAAATACATTGTGAGTTTTACTGTAGAACCACAGCTGTTACAGTAAAAGGAAGGGCATTGTGTGTTCTTTTCAGAATGATCCAGTGAACTTGACGCCCAGAGGAAATGTGGTGACTTAACAGAGGATGGAAAGCAGGTTTCTGACTCCTTTGAGAGAATGGTCACAGTTCATAAAAATCTTTTCTTTCCAAAGGAAATGGTATGGTTTTAACTTATTTTTAAGTGTTTAGAGTGGTGGAATTTTTTCCCCCTTCCTAAAGAAAATCCTAGCAAAGTACTCAATATTTACCTTCTACTCTGTTTGCAGCTGTGAAATGGAGAACTGCTGAATAATAAAAAGAGTTATTCACCTGACTTCCATACGTTATTTAATTGTAAGATCTTAGCCCTGCTGTGAGAGTACTTGGATTTACTGACAGTTCTGTTTTGGGGCTTGATGGCTGCAGACACAGGTCATCTTGAACACATGGAAGAAGTGTGTGGTGCAAACAGCACATTTGCCCCACATGGAAACCTTAAGGAAAATCAGGCCACCTGTGCTCAGGCTCAGCTGGGTAGCGTTTTATGATCAGTCTTCTCCAAAGAATAGAAGTGAGACCATTAGGCGTGAGTGGGACAGTAGGTCAAATAAGAAAAGTAAGGCCAAAGAAAACTTAGTTTGAAATCCAAAGGGCAAAGCTGAGCTGCTGATAT